AGTCTTCTCAACCTTGATCCATGCAAAACTTGTATCATGTGGGTCAATATTTTCATCATTGTTGCAAAACTTCATTGATTTGGGCAAATATCCACTTGACTTTTATTTAAAATTTACTATTAACCCTGACCTCCAGGGCACAAAAGTATCTTTTTTGTGTGGGGGAGTGGGGGAATACACATAACAAGACTAAGACAGATGTATTACTGAAAGAACCTGTGTACAGCCATCCATTATCATAAAGACATACTTACACAAATTTTGTTTGGAATAAACCTATGCAAGTATGAGCTGGAACCGTAGTCGCAATACTTTTTTTTTTTAATATTGTGGATTAGGTGGGAGGTTACATTTTAGCGAATTCAGCAACTTACCTAACAGCCCAATAGCTTGCCCTGTACCCTCCTATTTTCCCCTTCGCTCTCTCATGTTACCATTCCCTTCACCCAAGTTAAAACCTATGCACCCTCTAGCCCAGGGGTCCTCAAACTTTTTAAACAGGGGGCCAGTTCACTGTCCCTCAGACCCATTGGAGGGCTGGACTATAGTTTAAAAAAACTGAACAAATTCCTATGCACACAGCACATCCTATTTTGAAGTGAAAAACAAACAGGGCAAAAACACCCAGCAGGCCAGATAAATGTCCTCGGCAGGCAGCATGTGGCCCATGCGCCATAGTTTGAGGACCCCTGCTCTAACCTATTGCTTTTCCTTTCCTCCGGTTCTCTCCCAGCCCTGCGAACCATCAAGGACTGTTTCTTTTAGTGTGATGACCTTATCTTGTTTGTTTTTTTCTTTTAGAACAGTGGTCTCATACAATATTTCTCTCTTGGTAACTGGCGACTTCACTCAGTATAATGTCCTCCAAACCCAAGGGATGTTTCACAGTTCCATCATTCCATAGCCAAACAACAAAAGGGTTTGTTTCAGGCTGTCTTGGTTTTTAGGCCTGTTCATGGGGTTATTGGGAGGCACTGATTCAGCCAATTGCATTGGCAGACCTAACAGCTCTAGCTTCTGGGATACAGTAGTCCACTAGATTTTCAGTGGTTAAGTAATTTATTAATTTATCATTCTAGTTTTAAGTAGGAGAATAATTTGGACCCACAAATTCTAGGATATGACAAAAAGATAAGAGGTATTTGAAAAAGAAGTAGGTATTTAGAGACTTCCAAGAGAAGCACTGTATATGGACCTATAACCGGCTAGTTGGTTATAGTGCCATTTTGGAATCAGCAGATTAAATATACCCAGAAACAAGTCTGATATTTGAGGCACCAAATTATGTGTTGGCCCCTGTCATTCTATAGCTATGTAGAGTGTACTAAAGTTTCTTTACCCATTCTTCCACTGATAAGTATTGAGGTTGTTTCCATCTTTGTGCTGTTGTGAATAGTGCTGCAGTGAACATCTGTCACATCCAGCTGCTTTGTTCCTTATTTCTTCAGGGTATATACCCAGTGAGGGCTTGCTGGGTTTTGTGGTATTTCTATTCCAGTTGTATTCAGATCCACCATAATGTTTTCTACTGTGGCTGTACAGTTTTACAGATCCCTCCGGTAGTGTATGAGGGTTCCAATTCCTCCATACCCGCTGCAGCATTTGATATTGTTTGGGTTTGGGGGTTGTTGTTTTTTTTTGGACGTTGCTGTTAATACTAATGTTAGTATCTCATTGTTTTGGTGTGCATTTCTTGAGTGGCTAGTGATTATGAGCATTTGTTCATAGGTCTAGTGGCCTCTTGAATGCCTTCTTTCAAGAACTCTCTGTTCATGCCCTCTGCCAATTTTTTTACTGTTGAACTGTTGCGGTTTTCTATAGATTTTAGAAACTAGTCCTTTGCCTAGTACATCACAGTTGCAGTGCCTTTGACTTATCATATATACTCGAGTATAAGCCGACCCGAATATCTGCCAAGGCACCTAATTTTACCACAAAAACTGCTGAATGATCGCTGAAGACAAAACAGGAGCATAAGCAAATGTGAAGAAAGCTGATGGTGCCTGACTATCAAAAGATATAGCATCTGGGGTCTTAAAGGCTGGAAGATAAACAAGCAGCCATCTAGCTGAGAAACAACAAAGCCCAAATGGAAGAAGCACACCAGCCTGTGTGATCATGAGGTGTCGACCCAGAGCAAAAAAGCATAATGTTAATGAGGTGGGGAGTGCGGAGTGGAGACCCAAAGACAATCTGTAAGCAATTGGACATCCTCTTACAGAAGGGTCGTGGGGAAAAGACGGGCCAGTCAGGGTGCAATATAGCACCGATGAAACATACAGCTTTCCTCTAGTTCTTTAATGCTTCCTGCCTCCAACTATCATAACCCGAATTCTATCTTACAAATCTGGCTAGACCAGAGCATGCACATGGGTACAGATAAGAGCTGGAAACAGAGGGAATCCAGGATAGATAAACCCCTCCAGACCAGTGTTGAGAGTAGCCATACCAGGAGGATAAGGGGAAGGTGGGGGAAGAAAGATGGAACTGATCACAATGACCTACCTATAACCCCCTCCCAGGGGGATGGACAGCAGACAAAGGGGTAAAGGGAGACGTCGGACAGTGCAAGACATGACAAAAAAAATTATAAATTATCATGGGTTCATGAGGGAGGCAGGGGAAAAAATGAAGTTCTGATACCAAGGGTTCAAGTAGAAAGAAAATGCTCTGAAAACGATGAAGGCAAATATGTACAAATGTGCTTGGCACAATGGATGGATGTATGGATAGTGATAAGAGTTGTGCAAGCCCCCAATAAAATGATTTTTTTAAACAGAAACAAAAAAGAATGAAGTTATCTAAGGAGTAAATCTGAAAAAATAGTGCTGAAGAACTCGGCTCATACTCAAGTATATACGATACCTTCATGGACTTGTATTAATTTTTCATGTTACATTTTGTATTACCCTGTTGACTAGTAAAGTTGACTATTTCTTCTTAGTCAAGAAACATTTCACCAGGCATTTGGATATTCTAGTTTGTAAATGGCTTATTCAAATCTTTGCACATTTTCCTAGATGGGGCATAGTAATTTTTCTTTCTGGATATGAATCTATGTAACTTTTAATTTTATATTTATATCACACTTGACAGTTTCAAAATAGTTTAATATCTTTTTTTTATGTTCACAAAAGTCTGGAGGGGTTGTGTAACACCATTTAAAATACATAAAAATTAAAACGTGTCCATGACTAGAATCAATGCTATAACTTATTTTCTTAAATTATCTGAATTTACATAGGTTTGAAAGGTGATCTCTAGTACAGTAGGTAAAGGACATTTTTCCCATCAGTGGTGCCAGGTCCATGGAATATCATGATGGAAAAAGCAAATATTATCTTGACCCCTGTCTCACACCAGGAAAACTCAATTCCTACTTGTTCTAAATGTGGACTACTACCAAAAAGTTTTTAGAAGAAAATATAGACGAGTATATTGATATTTGGAGTAAGTATTTTGTACACAAAATGCATTAATGATAAAAGAAAATTTGAGCTAATTACAAATTATGTACTTATGTTATTAAAAGACCCTGCTAAGGGAGTTAAAAAGTAGCAGTAATATTAAGTTACATAAGATTCATATCCAAAAAGAAAAATTCCTATGAACCAACTAGAAAAATGAGCAAAGATTTGAAAGAGCACTTTACCAACTAAGATGTCCAAATGCCCAATGAAATGTTCCTTGAATCCTAGAAATATCCACTTTATATTAGTAAGCCACTGGAGATCCCCTTGCAGAGGGGTGTCGGGGAGGAGACGAGCCAGTCAGGGTGCCATGTAGCAACAATGAAAAATACAACTTTCCTCTAGTTCCTAAATGTTTCCTCCCCGCTCCCACTATCATGACATGAATTTGACCTTGCAAGTCTGGCTAGACCAGAGGATGTACACTGGTACAGATAGGAACTGGAAATACAGAGAATCCAGGGCGGATGATCCCTTCAGGACCAGTGGTGTGAGTGGCGATACTGGGAGGGTAAAGGGAGAATGGGTTGGAAAGAGGGAACCGATTATAAGGAACTGTATGTGACCTCCTCCCTGGAGGACGGACAACCGAAAAGTGGGTGAAGGGAGACGTCGGACAGGGCAAGATATGACAAAATAATAATTTATAAATTATCAAGGGCTCATGAGGGAGGTGGGAGCGGGGAGGGAGGGGAAAAATGAGGACCTAATGCCGGGGGCTTAAGTGGAGAGGAAATGTTTTGAGAATGATGAGGGCAATGAATGTACAAGCGCGCTTTACACAATTGATGTATGTATGGATTGTTATAAGAGTTGTATGAGCCCCTAATAAAATGATTTAAAAAATAATAATAAAGAGTCAATCTAGCGAACACTGAAAAAAAAAAGAAATATCCACTTTATAAATGTCAGCATGGAAATTCAAAATCGAGCTGCAATATTACAACAGCACACATTCACACATTCACCAAAGCATAAAAAAAGCAAACCCACTGCCATCAAGTCCGTCCGTTCTTGCTCTTAGTGACCCTATAGGATTAGAACAGAACTGCTCTTTCGGGTTTCCTCCAAGACAGACAGACTCGTTTTTCTGCGTGATCAGCTAATGTGTTTGAGACATCCCAAACTTGGGCCCGTTGTTCCACCATGGTTGCTGCTGAACTTGTTAGAGGGGATAATTTTCCATTTAATTGTCTTGGATTTTATAGGTAGGGTTATTAATAGGTAGATGATGATCCTTTCATCACAAAATTAGGATGGCTCTTTTTTCAGGAAAATTGCATTTTAATGCCAAAGAACATTCATACTTATAAGAAGGCAGTAAGTTTTGCATCCCAGAAAGTCTGTCTGAGAAGATCTTCAGGCTCCTTTGCCCCTTCGTGGGCTCATAAACCTATGCACTGTGAGGATGCATGCGGTGCTCAAACAATATAGTGTAAGTTAAAAGACATTTGCATTATGTTCATTTAAATGTGGCTGCAGGTAAATACCAATCATGTATCATCTTTCTGTTTGGGTTTTTTTTTGCAGATCTTTTCACAGATGCTGATGAGTCTGAAAAAATGGCCAAACATTTGGAAGATGCTGAGGGAGTTTATTTTGTTCCATCTTTTAGTGGATTGCAGGTAAAAAGAAAAGCAACAAAAACATTAGTTGCTACTTTGTCTTGGTAACTCTGTTTTTAACTTCTCACCTCCCATCCCTATTAAAAAAGCTTAAAAGTATATTGTTAGATGCTGCAGATTCAGTTCTGTCAGTTCCTATTCACAGCAACTCGATTGTGCCAGTTACATAATCTCGTGTCAACTTGAGAGTATTGAGTGGAGTCTAGCTTGTCAGTCAGGTTACAGACAGCCTGATGATGCCTCCTTGTGGGCATGCCCTTCTCATGAGGATTCTGGGAACTTTCTCTCTCTCTGCCTTCGGCTTCCTGTTGACAAGGCAAGAGGAGACTTGCTGAGACCTGTCAGAGCACAGTCTCTCTGCTTGACCTTCCTGTTGAAGAGCCACACTCAGAGGGCTGGAGGAGCCACATGGAGACGCATGCCAGGCGTGAGACGCTTCCACTGCCACTGATTCCACAAGACTTTTCACCCACTGGCCTGTGAACTTCCTGTGTTCAGCATCATTGCAAGTTCTGTGTGAGTCTGAAAAGGAATTTATGGACTAGTATCAGACATATGGGCTAATATTGGATTTATGGGCTTGATCAGGACAGCACTGGGCTGTTTCCTCAAAATACAATTGCTCTTTGATATAAAGCTCTCTCTTACACACAAGAGTGACTCTCTGGATTTGTTTCTCTAGTCAACCCAGACTAACACACCTGTGTACAGCAGAACAAAACACTGCCAGATTCTGTACCATCTGCACAATTACATGTCTGAACCCATTGCTGCAGCCGCTGGGTCAATCCATGTCATTGAGGGTCTTCCACTTTTTCACAGACCCTCTACTTTACCGAGCAATGGCTTCCAGGGATTGGTCTCTACTGATAATACATGTAAAGTACATGAGATGAAGTCATACCATCATCACTTCCAAGGATCAATCCATTGTACTTCTTCCAAAACAGATTTGTGTATTCTTTTAGCAGCCCGGAGTATGACGGGGTACCAAAAAACCCTGGATTTGGGGGAGTGAGAGAGTACCAAAAAAATTGCACTGGGTGGGGGGAACCGATTACAAGAATCTATGTGTAGCCTCCTCCCTGGAGGATGGACAGCAGTGAAGTGGGTGGGGGGAGACATTGGACAGTGTAACATATGACAAAATAATAATAATTTATGAATTATGAAGGGTTCGTGGGGGAGGGGGAAAGGAGGGGAAAAATGAGGAGCCGATATTAAGGGCTCAAGTAGATGGCAAATATTTTGAGAATGATGACGGCAACAATTGTGCTTGACACAATGGATGGATGTATGGATTGTGATAAGAATTGTATGAGCCCCCAGTAAAATGATTTTTTTTTTTAATTGCACTGGGTGGACTGGAGCTTTCGTAGTATGCGTTTTTCCTGCTAGGTGAGCATCAAGCAAGGCACTCTGAGTTAGTGCACCCAGTGTTGTAGCTGGGAGGGTTCTCTCTGGTCACAGTGAATTTTATTATAAAAGCAGGTTCACTCAAGCCTGTTTTTTGTGATGGCCGATTTAAGAGAACAACATGCGGCTGTGAAATTTTATTTCCTACTTGGGAAAAATGCCGCAGAAACTGTTGTGATGTTGACTACAGCTTACAAGGACAGTGCTATGGGAAAAACTCAAGTGTCTGAGTGGTTTTCTTGTTTTGAAAAAAGGTGAAATTTTGACTGATGACAAACCTTATTCTGGAAGTGTATCAACTTCCCAAAGGGATAAAATTGTCGACTTGTAGTAGATTTGGAGTTCAGTCCACCAGGTCTGAAAAGATTGTGTCAGGCTGTTGAAGGCTCATTCTCGTCCTAGCTTCAACTTCTCACAGCATCTGCTGGGGAGGGAGCAGTGGACAAGCTTTGAGGAGCCGGGGTGGTACCACACGCATCATCAAAAAGGACATTTCAAGTACAGTGCTGTCGTTGATAGGATGATATCTATACACCCATAAGGAACACCAATTAATGTAACTATTCAAATTCATGCACCAACTGCTAATGCCAAACATTTTTAAAAATGATGACTAATCAAATTCTGCAGTCTGAAATTGATCAAACATAGTCAAGCTACACTTGATATTTACTGTCTATACTCGAATATAAGCCGACCTGAATATCAGCTGAGGCACCTAATTTTACCCAAAAAACTACATAAAAACATCCTGAAAAACTCGGCTTATACTTGAGTACATATGGTACTGATGATTGGAATGAAAAGTTGAAAATAATGAAGGATAATTAAGTGGAAAGTGTGGCCTTAATGACAGAAATAACACCAGAAATTGTATGCTCGAATTTACATGCAAGAACTGATCCATTGCAAATGCCATTTCTCAACACACAAAAAGCACATTGATTATAGACTTCACTAGATTATCAAGGACTGAGGTATTGAAGTAAGAAGTGCCATATGATCAAGGACAGATGGTGCTGAAGGAAGTTGTCGACGATACATTGAAGGCATTATTCCAACACAAGCTCCAGGAAGTGTTTCAACAAGTTAATGAAGCACTGGAAGCGCTCACTCATGGATGCCAAGTAATTTGGAAGACAGCTACCTGACCAACCTACTAAAAGAAATCCACATTTGCGCCCATTCCTAAGAAAGGAGACCCATCAGAGTGTGGAAATTATCAGACAATATCATTAATATCACATGCAAGTAAAATTTTGCTGCAAATCATTCAACAATGGTTTGCAGCAGCACATCAACAGGGAGCAGCCAGAAATTCAAGCCATTGCTGATGTCAGATGGATCTAGACTGAAAGCAGAGACTACTAGAGAGATGTTTACCTCTCTCTACTTTTATTGCATTCAGCCTGATTTTAGTGAAGGCGTATCATCTTTTCCTAATATTTAATTTAGTGTAATCTTTGGACTATAACTTATTATTGCACTATTAAAGTATACATTATTTTCTTCAGAATGGTTATGGATGGTGAGATTTTGTCTCACATACTTTGGACATGTCATCAGGAGGGGCCACTCCCTGGAGATGCACATCATGCTTGGTAAACGAGAAAGTCAGCAAAACAGAAGTAGACCCTTTATGAGAGTGATGGGCAGTGACTATGAACAGGAGCTCAAATCTAACTCTTACAAGAATGGCACCGGCCTGGGCAGTTTTGTGTTCTTGTGTGCATAGTTATCCTGTCAGTCAGGGCTGACCTGATGGCACCTTAATAATAGCAGCAACATCTATTTAATAGCAACATATTTCTTGATATGAGCTAATATAGAAGATGCTGCTAACTTCAACATTTTTGACTCAACTTTGTATAAAACTTGTTAAAAATGTTTCCTAATATTTAACTTAGTATAAGCTTTGGGCTATAATTTATTGTTACATTATTTAAGGATACATTATTTTCTTCTGAATGGTTATGTTTTTATCATGCAATATTTCTTCAAGAATATATATATATATAATTTAGAACAATAAGACTACATTCTTATCTTTTACTTTAGGCTCCAGTGAATGACCCCTGTGCGTGTGCCTCTTTTATGGGTTTGAAGCCTTCCACCAGTAAATACCATCTCGTCCGAGCAATACTGGAGTCATTAGCTTTCAGGTACCAAAACTTGCCCTAAACTGCCCATCTCCCATAAAGTAGTACCATTTTCTTTCATTGATTTGCTACTACATTTGAAATGTCTTTTTTATCTGAGGGTTTATTTCCTGTTAATTCACACTATATATGATGCACTCTTCTTACAGAATTTTTTTCATATTAATAGTACAACTATCTGGGAAAAAAATACTTTTTTAAACTTTCAATTGTGAATTAGGTGGTGCTTCAGAGCAGATCATCAGTTTTACATTCAATAATTCATACACATTTTATTTCCACTCATCTGTTGCAGCCCCCTCCTGTACCATCACTTGCCCCCCTTCCTCCCTGTCTCTTGTTTCCATCCCTCCTTCTCTCCTCCTGACCATCTGTATCTTGTCCTTGGAGAAATGCTGCCTTTTCCATCTAAAAGGGGAGATGTTCTACCACAGACATGAGTTCAGTTCCAGACTTAAAGGGTGACTAAGGACCCCAGTCTTAGGAACCTCACTAGTGCCTATCTGACTCATAGTCTGGTCTTTTTCATGACTTGGGGTTGGCCCACAGCTTTCTCTTACTCTGTCCAGGATCTTCCAATGTGACCCTTTTCAGAGAAGTTGGTGGTTTTAACCAGACCCCTTCTAGGCCAATACTGCTGTGTATATAGTGCTGCATTGTGGTGATCTCTGAGGAGATGCTTGACTGGACATGAAGGTGGGAGATGGAGAGAGGGAGTATACCCAGGAACGTGTGTATATAGGTTTAACAGAGGATGTTTGTATACATGCATTTACCTTTGGTGCAAACGTATCTGACTGTGGTGGCATGTTCACAAAGACCACATTCTCCTTTGGTGAGACATGACTGGGGTGATGAGCAGCCATGGAAGGTGCAACTATTGGTCGCTCTCTGACTGGAGGAAAGAAAAACAATGAAAATCAAAAGACTTGTGGCAGCATTTAGCCCAATGGATTAATAGACCACACAACGGTCTGCAACCCTGAGACCAAAAGAAAAAAAATGATGTTGTAAAAAATTAAAAGATCATTTTATTGGGGGCTTTTACAACTCTTAGAACAATCCCTACATCCATTGTATCAAGCAAATTTGTACATATGTTGCCATCATTCTTTTCTAGACATTTACTTTCTATTGAACCCTTGATATCAGCTCTTTTCCCCCTCTCCCCCTCCACCCTTGTGACCCCTTGATAAATTATAAATTATTATTATTTTCATATCTTACACTGACTGCTGTCTCCCTCCCACCATGGTTTCTGTTATTTGACCCCCTGGAGAAGCGGGGTTGTGGTCATGTTCGATCATTGCAATCGGTTCCCCCTTCCTCCCATAAGAATAATTTTTAAAATATCTTTTTTATAAGAAAAATAGATTTGGATTTCCAAAGGTTTAAGCATATTGTTTCATTCAGAAGAATTCAAGCTAATAATATTGAATTAATACAATTTTATGTGTTTATTTCCCTGTGACCATTTTGTTAGGAAACAAGTATAGATGATTAAAATTAAGAATGCAACTGCCATGAAAATGGCATGCTTGTAATGTTTAAAATAAAATTGTCTATGATTACAAAATGATTATTTTTATCCTATTGCATTCTGCCTGATGTTCGTTATGGCATGTTATCTCAATAGCTATCTAGCAAAGAGCCCGGGAGGCGGAAAGTGGTTACTCGTTGGGCTACCAACTGCAAAGTCGGCAGTTTGAAACCACCAGCTGCTCCTTGAAAGAAAGCTGAGGCTTTCTGCTCCCATCGAGCCTGGTGGTCTTGGAAACCCAGGGCAGCTCTGCCCTGCCTTACAGGGTCACGGGGAGTTGGCATCGACTCAGTGCCAGGGAGTGTTTGAGTCTTCATTCGATGGAGTATTGCTCTAAATCTCACTGATAAGAACAGAAATAGATTAAATGTCTCACTGCTCTTGAGTTGATTCTGACTCACAGCGAAAAATGAGGGTCTTTTTCCTTAAGGCAAAATGGACAGGCTCTGAGCATTTTGCTTAGTTGACATCTGTTCAGCAGCTTCCAGCTAGCATAACTGGAACATAACATTTCTTTGATAACCTCTTTTGCAAATTTTATAAATGTCATGTAAGTAACAGTACACTTTTTTAGATTTGTATAAAAGATAGTTTTATTGTGGGATGAATTCATTCTAAAGCATTTTCTTGTTTTTCAACTAGAAATAAGCAACTGTATGACATGCTGCAGAAAGAGATCCACATTCCCATAACAAGAGTCCGGTTTGTGTCTGTTATTTCATGCTTTCTGTCCCCGGGTGGTGCACAGTGAATGCATTCAGAGACTAACTGAAAAGTCGACACAGAGGTGCCTTGGAAGAAAGGCCTGGTGGATTATTTCTGAAAATGTGACCCCACAAACCCTAGAGAGCAAAGGTTTACTCTGAGCCCCATGGGGTCAGCAGTAGGACGGCTGGTTACACTGTGTTTCCAGTAAATGGAATTAGAAGTTAGACTTGACATTTCTGAGGGTTCTCATAAAGTCATTTCGGGTTAATTATTGTGACAGGGACATGGTTTTTAAGGTTTATTCCCTGAAGCCACTAGAAATGCCATCCTTGAAGGAATAGACACTTTTTAGTGAAGAAAAGCAACAGAGCTTGAGTCAGGTCTGTCCCACAGCCCAGCCCCTACTTGCTGGTGAGGCGGGTGAGTTGGTGCAGACCACGTGGTCCGGGGCATGACCCAGGGCATGGCCCGAGGGGCATTCAGTAAGTGCCAGCTGTTGTGAGCATTGTGCCATTGCAATTATTCATGATTTCGAAGAGAATTTACACGTCACTTCTTGGCAACCAAATTCTTGTTCATAGGAATTTGGAGAGAAAAGAAAGGCTCATATCAGATTTGTGGAATTTGGGAGGACCTTGCCACAATGCAGATCTTATAATATCTCCTTTTTAGACAGGTGGCTTTCCTTGTGTTTGGGGATCATCAACTTTCTGACTACTTTGCCTAAATGTTACTTTTTATTGTATTGGGTTTAGTTTGAAGTAGCTGCAGAACAAACAGGGCAGATGGGTAATTGTGGGGCAGAATAAAGGAAAAAGTTTCAAAATTGCCCAGCAAGGACCCCTATCATCAAGTCCATGCTAAGTGATGTGATTTTTGGAATTAGAATGTTAAACTTGTAAAATGAGATTGAGACTTTAGGCAACACCTGTGGCCCAATTGCAAAGACTGACTGGTGCTGTGCTCCCTTCGCTGTGCTCCCCACAGGGCAGATGGTGGAGTCTGCAGGAACAACTTTATCATGCAGATGACCTCAGACCTGATCAACGAGAACATAGACAGGCCTGTACAGGTCGACATGTCCTGCTGGGGTGCAGCTTCTCTGGCTGGCCTTGCTCTTGGTATGTGTGGATTTCCTAAGAACAAGCTTCCCTGTAAACTACTTCTTAAATGCATCATTTCTCTTCCCAAGTCCCCAAATTATAGAGAGGGTCTGGAAAGTATTGGTGCAACAACTGGTGCTTGTGTCGTCGTTCTTAATCTGCACCGCTGGTTGTTGCTGATGTCCGTTGCCTTTAAGACCGCCCGACTCACAGTGACGCCCCACGCAGCAGGACAAAACCTTGCCCAGGCTCCGCCATCTTCACGATGGCTGGCCCCAGGAGTCCATTGCTCAGCGGCTGTGTCTGGTGAGTGCCTGTCAAGTAGGGGCTCGTCTTCCAGCACGACATGGAATTGGGTTCTGCTGTGATCCTCAGAATCCTCACTGACTAATTTTCCAAAGTGGATTGTCAGACTTTTTCCCCCCGAGTCAGCCCTAATCTCTCAGTTCCATTGAAACCAGTCAATATAGGCCTCTCACTGCCAGCCTGCCATTGAATCAATGCTGACTCACAGTGGCCCAATGTGGCATTCTGAGACTGTAGCTATTTCTGGGAATAGAAAGCCCACTCTTCTCCTGAGAAGCTGCTGATGGTTTTGAACTGCCAACCAAGTGGATCGCAGCCCAACACGTCACCAGGGCTCCTATTGTTCACCAAAACCCCTGTGACTTGCTGGTGGGTATGGTTGACTCTCTTCCATCCTCAACTTTACTCTTTCCGTCAGAGGAAACATGAGGCAAGGAAATTTAACTTTCAGCCACTTAGGTCTCTGGCAAAGGAGCTCCTAGGTAAACTTTCTGAGTAAGTGTGCTTGTCTTTGTCAGTAGGCACCATTCTACTCTCTCTTTTCTCAGATACTTGTGAGCACCTTTTACATGATAGTGACTGCTAGGAAGAAGTTAAGACGTAGTCCTTGTCATCTGGTGGAAACAGATGAATCAACTGATTGTTCAACCTGCTGTGCCAAACCCAACCATCCTAGTAAGCAAATGGCGCAGGCTCCCCCAGGAAGGGTGTAGTCCAGCCAGGAAGGGCTGCTAGACAGCCGGGTGAGGAGAGCAGACGCGGTGCTCCTGTAGAAAAGCTGCTCATGCTGCGATACGGGCCCTTCAAAAGATGCCCAGGATGATGATAAGGATGCCCAAGGGAACCGAGATACATGGAAGTCCAGCTGGGGTGGAGTTTTTTTTAATTAATCATTTTGTTGGGGGACTCTTACAGATCTTATGACAATCCATCATTCAGTTTTATTAAGCACACTTGTACATATGTTGCCATCAGCATTTCCAAAACATTTTCTTTCTACTCGAGCTCTGGGTATCAGCTCCTCTTTTTGCCCCTCCCTCCCCCATCCTTCCACCCTTGTGAATCCTTGATCAATTATATATTATTGTTGTTATTTCATGTCTTACACTGTCCATTTGTGGTGGATTTTTTTATAAAGAGGACTCTGGACTTGGTCCTGAAGGCAATGGAGAGCCACTGGAGAATTTTAAACAGGGAGCAACATGGACAGATCATCACGGAACAGAACACTTCGACAGTTATAGAAGGATTAGTGGGCAGGGGGACTGAATGGAGGTGGGAGGCCAATTAGAATACACCCTAGGGAACAGGATGATTCCTTGAGACACGGGTTATATTTTAATGTTTTCCTTTATGTAGGAGTGTAATGCCTGGGACAAAAATATATATGTATATATTTCACAGTTAAAAGTTTAAAGCTATTAGTAAAATATATTAAAGGTACATATTCAAAAAGTATGGATCTGGGTAAGTTTAATTTAAATGTTATTCTATTTAAAATGTGGTAATGAAGAATAAAAGTAAGACCATCATTTTTATGTATTCACTGTTTAATGTTTGATTAGCAAGTTGAAAAAATCAGTTTCCTTTAAATAATCAGTCCCGCTGCGGACCTGACTCCTGAAGTCATGTTGGAGGCACGCCTACCAGCCTTGGCAATAACCCTGTGAATTGACCAGGCTCATCACTCTGGCGTGGGGGGTGGGGGTGGATTTCCTTCTACCAAGGATGGTGATGCACAAGACACAAGGAAGACAGTGAACAAGTCCCACACATTGTAGAAAGGCAATAGATATCTGCGTAGAGCAAGCAGTTGGCACTGGACAACAAATCTAATAAGCAACATCATGAGAAGCTGAGGGAATACTGAACTTGTCTAGGATTTTGTTTTACTTGGATCCACAATAAATGTCCACAGGAGTAGCAGTCAAAAAACGGGATGATGCATTACCTTGGACAAGCTTGCTACAAAAGACCTCTTTAGAATCTTACAAAACTTTGAGGATTGAGGTGCCCCTGACCCAAGCCATGATCATTTGAGTCTCTTCATATACCAGTGAAAGCTGGATGGTGAAAGAAGAACGGAAGCATGGCAATGGTGGTGTTGGCAAAGAATATTGACTACCCCGTAAAGGTCAGGCGAACCAACAGAAAAATGGTCCAGAGGAACTGTGAGTATAACGAGAAAGCCCCTTAGACTCAAGGATGGAGAGACTTGCTCTAGCTTCAGTTGCACGTTATCAGGAAGGACCGGTTCCTGGAGCAGGGCAGCATGCTTGGTCAGTGAAAACGAGGAAGACCCTCAACGAGACGGATGGACACAGTGCTGCGACAACAGGCGCCAGCAGAGCAGTGATGGTGAGGATGGCGCAGGCCAGGCAGCATTTTCTCTCCGTTGTGTGTGGGCTCACTACACGTCAGAACCACGCCTACCGACGCCATGACCAGCAACAACGTGCAACGCTTCGGAGACCAGTGGAACTGCTCTGCCTGGTGGCTGTACCAGCTTACATTCCCATCAGCAGTGGGTGACAATTCCAACCAGGCTGTTTCCTGCCTTGGATGTCCTTTCTCCTCGGCCTTCCAACCTCCAACTCCACGCAGTGAAGTCATCGATAGGGCTCTTCTGGCCGTGGGTTTTGTCATGCCCACCAAATGATTCCGTTGCAGCCATACACACAGTGGATGGAACTCAACACGGGGATTGGTCAGTTTAGCCATCTGGCTGGGTTTTAAATGAGCCCTCTCAGAAACAGGAATGGGGACCCCAACTCCATCAAGAGAAAAACACAGGAGTGGAGCATGTCATTTGGACCCTGAGATACCTGTGCACTGAGTCTCTTTGAACCAGGAGACAAGAAGATATGACAGTAGAAACAACCAAGAGTACAAGACTGCAGCGGGCTCTGGCCCACAACGTGAGAATGCTTAGTCTCTTCAGGAAGAAGGCTAGCTTGTGCCTTCAGGCACTTAAGAAGGGGAGAGAGGTTTGCTGACTGATGGAGATAGAACTGAGCGCCTTTGGTCTGAGGCTTACGGTGGAGTGGACTGTCATTGGGGGTACTCATCAAAAGAGCTGAAAGAACTTTGCCACATTGCCAGAGCAAGGAGAGGCCGAAGACCAGGGACGCATGCCTGGGGGAATGCCTGAGAGGGTTGTCCTTACCTCCTAACTGTATCCGGAGCATTTCGGAATGCTAACCTGTTAACTTCCCTAATAAAGCCCACAGTCAGTAAAAAAATAAATCAGTCCCATTTGCAAATGTAGTTGATTATATTTCTTTGCATATTTCACTCAACTCCCATAGAACAACTCGAGAATCATAAGGGAAGCCTTCCATTCAATAACTTCTCCCATTCTTAAAACAATACTTGTAAATTAAATAAATTAGACAGGATAAATCAAGTTGGCATAAGCACTCTAATATTGCTTATACAAGCAAGCAAACAAACAAAAAACATCATATCTCTTGATTCATATAGACCCAGAGGTCTATATTTTCTTACAGAGTAGAAAATTGATATTTTCTTGATTGGATTTATCAAACTGTAGAGCACTAATGAAAACTATTTTTATTTTGTATGTGAATTGAGTGAAGTTTTATAGAGTCAATTGGTTTCTCATTCAATATGTCAGACACCTTTTCTTTTGTGTCACGGATGGCGGGCAGTCCCAATGCAGTCGCAGGAAGGTGAGTCAGTGAGGTGAGCCTGAAGGGCGACTAAGGGCCATCGCCCCAAGTCCACCAATCTCTCACCAGAAATCAACTCAGTGTCTTTTCTGATTTTGAGTTTCCCCCTATTGCTTTTCTCCTCTGCCCAGGCCCTTGCTGTGCTCCCTTTCAGAGGGGTCGGAGCAGCTGCCGGGCACCGTCTATTGTTCTGGTGTCAGGGTCATGGGACCCTCACGTGGTCCACGGGTCCTTTGCCCTGAGTATTGCCCTGATTCTTTGCTTTTCTTGGTTCTTGTTTATTCTGGATGAGGAGGGATCAATAATTTCACTGGAGCAGTTTTGCCACTCACAGCCTTGGACGACCCCGGTCACTGCTCAACACAGTAGGCTGGAGAACATTTTCTTCATGAACTGTGTTGTGCCACTTGACTTGATATCCCCTAAGACTATGGTCCAAAGCCCAAGGTTTTTAGTCTTTTTAAAGAACAACTGGATTATCTTGAAATGTCCGTACTCTAAAATGCTGACCTTGTAAATCATTGGGGTTTTTTCGTGTGACTTGACAAAAAAATTAGAAAAACATAATATTATTTATCAGCTCATTTTTTGTTAAGGACAAGGAGCGCTTGTAGACCATATTAAGTCATCTATGTAGATAAAATGAAGCCAGTTTATTAACAAGACACCTATATCATTTCACCTTTTAAATAATAATTATAAATGTGTTCTCATGTTGCTCCCATTATAAATCACATGATTCTCTTACAAAGTGTTTTCTGCTACAACTACAGTGTCATTTTGAACTGGCATTGACATATTGTTGTTATGCTTTGGGGGCCACTAGATTTCGGCTCTGGGTGTCTCTGTGTGACAGAGTAGAACTGCCCCCAGAGGGCTTTTTGGGCTGAAATCATAGTAAGAGCAGACTGACAGGCCTTTCTTCCACAGAATTGCCAGGTGGATCTGAACCAGCAAATCTTCCTGTTTGCTGCTAAGTGCCTAACAGACCTGTCCTTTAGAATTTAAATCAAGTCGTGTGAAATGCTGTTGTTTGAAAAGAAAACTCAGACTGATTTCCAACTTTAGATCTTATGCCTAGCCATCACTGACCTCAAGCTGTAGTGACACCCCCCCCCCCACAAAGAAGAAGCTTATTTTTCATTTATTCTAATTGGATAGCCCTGGTGGGGTAGTGGGTTACATGTTGGGCTAACCACTGGTCAGCAGTTCAAAACCACCAGCTGCTTCATGGGAGAAAGATGAACCTTTCTACCGTCACAAAGATTAAAGGTCCCAGACACCCACAGGGGTAGTTCTATTGTCCTGGAGGGTCACTAGGAGTCAGAATCAACTCCACAGCTGTGAGTTTGGGTTGGTACTTAAAAGCGGTATTTTACTTGAATGGTAAATCCTTAACTTAAATGAGGGGGTGTCTGGCTGCTCTCAAAGTGACCCGGTACCTGCCACATAGGAGGAAGCCTGAGAGTTAAGACCCAAAGATCGGTAATCCTGCTCTATTTATTCCCAGAATAGTCAAGTTTACAAAATTCAAAAGCAACAACATAGTTTGGATTATGCTTTTAAAAGATAGTTGTTCAGTGTTGCTCCAGCACACGTAGAGTGGATGATCTGGATAGACCCATTACTACCTTAAAAGGAGAGAATCATTTTATTTTTCTTAATCTGTAGGGCTTTGGACAGACAAGGAGGAACTGAAGAGACTGAGGGAAAGCGAGATGGTTTTCAAGCCACAGAAGAAGTGGCAGGAGTACGAGATGAGCATGGAAAACTGGGGGAAAGCCGTGAAGCGCTCCATGAATTGGTATACCGGGACCTGACACTGAACGCAGCTGCGGCCGCACCGGCGGCGTGCTCACAGTCTGCACAGAAGAGACCGAGCTCCTGAAACACCAACACTACAAGGACCACGTGGAGATCAGTTAGCACAACCTGAAGGAAAAGCACTGCTCTTTTGAAAAGCAAATAAACGAACAGAAACTTATTTTTAAACCCCAAACCTTAGGAAGACTGCTCTGGCACCAGTACCTCGAGACTTCTGTGTCTTCTGTTTTGTAGCAAATTCCAAAAGCCATCCTATTGGGGGAGTTATGTATCCTCCTTTTTTTCCTTTTCCTTTTTAAAATCGTTTTATTGGGGACGCCTCCTCCTTTTTTTCATACTTGGGTTGACAGTGCATCGGAACATTGTTGTTGAGCATTTGTGCTAATAGTTCTGGATCAAGTATCTTTCACACTTTGTTCCAGAATTATATGGAATTCACTCTCTTGAATGAAGTGGGCTATTCGAAGTCTATGCCCTTAAAAGCAAAGTATAACTGGAGAAATGTAGACGTCTGAGACATTCGTATTGATGTTGAAAGCCATAATGGTTCAACATCCAAATAGGAGCCCAATCCATCTCTCACAGATAAGCTCATTTGTTTGAGCTTCACGACACTGCCTTAATCCTTCCTTATTCAACTAAAATCTAAGCATTCTTCTTTTAAATAATAATTTTAGTTCATGAATCAAAAAAGGTTTCTGATTCTGTTTTTGAGCTTGTCATTGCGATTTGAGCCTAAGTTTACAGAGGAAATCGGTCTGCCACTCAGCAGCTCACCCCATTTGTAACCACGTCCGTCCTGCTTGCTTCTGGTGATTCCTGCTCCCAATTCTCTTCCTTTCCTATCCACCACTGCCGTTTGAGCTTCATCCCTGGGCAGGTGATGCGGCTGGTTGTTCTAAGGAGTGCCTACCCCGCTGGAATTTTTGTTGACCCAATGGGTCTGTCTGTTGTTTGGCTGAAGGCTAAGCCAGCAGAGGTGGAGGTTGGAGGATTCTTAAGGAACAAAAGATACCATGTGTTCTGTGTTTAAATTGTATTTATTTCAAAAAACGTCTTGCTAAAGTGTACTAAGTATAATAACCTCACTGTTCCCTTTTTTACAGAATGTTGATAATTCATAAAATGTGTCTTCTATTTTTTATTCATTGAGATGGTGACATAAATGTCTTTGATTTTGATTAAGGGTCTAATTGACAAAGCTGAATTTGAAGACAGTGCCCACATTGAATAGTAGCTTAAAGCTTTCCTTTAAGGCTGTATTTTACTTGTCCTTGTCTCTTTCTGATGTTTGTCCGTTCTACTCACCCCTCTGAGACCTGAGCAATTGCCACGTGTCTCAGATGATGGGAGTGTAGGACGCTGGTGATGTCTTCTGGCTGCTGAACCCGAGATCCATGGAGAGGAGTACACACAGCTCCACATTCTCAGTGTTCTTGGTTGAAAGAGTGTGAAAGGGTCGGTACCATTTGTGAGTAGCTTCTGGTTGGATGTGAAGTGTACTGCCTTTTAGATGGTTCCCCTGTAATTACCCGTATCTACATTTGGGGAAGGTTCCCTTTGAATTTGCAGCAACGATGAGTTTATTTTTCCCTCTCCGTCAGGCTTAATCACATCACATCCTGTTTTAGAATCAACTGTTCAATCACAGTACAACTAAAGGAGTAACCATTAGCGGGAACTTGTGGCTGTGACATTGATCCATTCCAGAGACTTAGAATTAGAGCGAATTCCATATTAGTGAACTTCAAGTCTCTCTTTAAATCGTTAAGTCTTCATAGAGTCATTGAGCAACATGTGTGATTGAGACTTGGACAGGTTTTGCTGAACAGAAGTGTTTTTGTTTGTTTACTTATTACATCAGATCCAATCAAGTGGCTTCCTCGTTTTTTCTCATGTTACATGATTTTTGTTGCACTTGGGACCAATTAAGGGCTTCCCTATAAAAATCCTGTGAAAGCTGCTGTTACTATTCCCTGTAGACTCTGCATTCCAGTTGATGTAATTCCATAGGAAATAGTTCTTTTTGCAGGGATGACAGTTCAAACTCCCCACCCACTTCTTTCTCAGGCTATAACTACAAAAGACAGAATCAATCTAAACGTGTTTAGATCATATAGGAAAGTAACTTTGCTTCAAAGTCTCATTAAAATCACGTGTCTACTAAATCACAGTGACTTATTGCATTTCCCATGCAAGTCTAGAAGATAATCTTTATTTTACTATTGCTGGATGTGCTCATGATGGATAGTAAATCCTTTGGCAGAATTGACCAAAATCAGAAACATGACTACCTTTCCATTTCCGGTGGTGGAAGCAGTTGATAATCAACATCAACCAAGCCAAAGGGAATGGCCCTGTCCGCCGGTCAAACTGATTTCTCTTCTTTATGCGAACATTTGTAAGCTTTTTTTTAAATTAAAATTTCTGTACTAATTTTTATCAACATGCCATATTTTCCCATTATGGATTTGCAAGATATTTTGAGGAGAGTCCAAACCAGCTCATCAAGAGGGAAAATATCCCTTTATAGTTTATCTTAAATTGGTATTAATTGCCTTTAGATTATAGATTTACTGGTTTTAAAATCTTGTGTAAGCATCCATGAGAAGATTTCTTAATGGTTAGTGTTTTGGACCAAATAATGAGTTGTCCTGAGGGCCCTGGTAGCCTCCTTGACCACTTCCACCCATTTGCTACTGCCAATAGGATACCCGAAAGGTCTGCACACACTGCCAGGTGCCGGCTGAGAGCCAAAGCTGCTCTCGGTCAGGGGCTATTTACGGCAGACCAGTGACAAGGAAACCGTAGAAGGTCTGTCATGCCTTTTCTCCCTTTTTACCTTAGGAAACTCTTGTCAGCACAAAGAGAGATTCTATTATCAAGAGAGTTCATCGGTTTCCATCAACGGGGACCAAACAAAACCTCTCATGTCGTCACTTCCTCTGGATGTTTTTACCCACCCACCTGCACCCCATTCCCACCCCCAAGTCTTTGTTCACAGAGCCAGGGGTTCAGGATAGGACTCAGGTATTCTGAAGAGTTGGCAAAGGATCATCTTTGATTTAATCTGCTTTTTTAGCTTTCTTTTCACCTCTGAATAAATGAGATGATCCCTCTCTTTATCCTCCTTCTGTGCCAGCCTCTGCCAGACTGGACTTTCCCTGAGAGTAGGAAACATGTCTACTTCCACAGAACTTAACCACTGTGCCTTCATATTTGTCAAATCAATTTTTCTTTCATGTTTTAAGTGTGGTTTTTTAATGTATATGCATTTTATCCTTGATATGACATATATTTGTTAATTCAAAACAAAACAAAGCCTATTGCCATCAAGTCCAATTCTAACTTATAATGACCATATAGAACAGGCTCCATAGGGTTTCTGAGGCTGTAAGTCTTTATGAGAACAGATAGCCTCATCTTTCTCCTTTGGTGTGGCTAGTGGGTATGAACCACTGACCTTGTGGATAGCAAATTCTTTATCCACTGGGCCAATGGAGCTCCTTCATTTGTTGAGAGGGAGTAGGTTACACTCATTGCAAGGAAAATAAGTTACTTTTGGATTAAGAAGGAACCATACTGAGTCAGAGAAGCCCTGGTGGCTTAGTGATTATGCATTTGGCTGCTAACTGCAAGGTCAGCAGTTCAAAACCACAAACTACTTCTCTGGAGAAAGAGGAGACCTTCCATGTCCGTAAACTGTTATAGTCTCAGAAAGCCACAGGGGCAGTTCTAGCCTGTCCTGTAGAATCCCTGTGAGTCAGAATCAACTCGATGGCATTGAGTTTGCATAAAACACTGAGTCAGAATCAACTCAGTGGTAGCTAACAACTATATTATAAGGGCTAGTATCTTCTTATTTGTTTAAAAATTCTTTACATGTTTATCTGCTTTCACCTGTATTGTGTGGAGAGACATGTCTACTCATACATATAGCTATATTAACTTTAAAAGTTAGAGTTGAAGCCTTTTTATCTATAGGTTCTGCAGATAGCTGGCAGAGCCTGAACCAAATATTGAGTACCAAATATTCAAGTGGTAGAGGGAAAGAAGAGCCCTTGGGCTCTTGGGCTCTAAAGGCAAGGTCAGCAGTTCGAAACCACCAGCCACACTAAGGGAGAAGAACGATGAAACTTTCTACTCCCATAAAGAAGTATGGTCTCAGAAACCTACAGGGGCAGTTCCACTCTGTCCTATAGGGTCGCTGTGAGTCGGATTCAACGCTATGGCAGAGAGTTTTGATAGATAGATGATAGATAGATAGATAGATAGATAGATAGATAGATATAGTAGAGGTTTCTCCTTGGGAGAAAGATGGAGCTGTCTGCTTCTGTCAAGATCTGTAGCCTCAGAAACCCCCTGGTACAGTTCTACTGTGTCTTGTAGCATCACCATGACTTCATGTCAGGGGGTTTGGTTTTTTTATAGGGAAAGGATAGAGACCTGGTGGTGCAGTGGTTTAAGCATTGGGTTGCTAACTGAAAGGCCAGCAGTTCAGATCCACTAGCTGCTGCCTAGGAGAATCCTGTAAAGAGTTACAGTCTTGGAACCCCTGCAGGTCAACTCTGACTTGCAGGTTTGCTGTGAGTGGGATATCAAATAGATGGCAGCATCTTTTATAGGGAAAGGTCTTCAGAAATAATCCTTTCTGCCAGTGGCTTAACTGGGGACCGTCCTGAATTAGAAAAGGTCTTTCCCACAAGCGTAGCAAAAATTCTAGAATTCGTTGAAGGAGAGACTGTGAGTGATTCTAGAGTCATCCCAGATAGCCTGAGAGACTACTTGAAGAGATTCTAGATTCCTTTGAGAAATTTAGAATGCGCTTTACACAATTGATGTGTGTATGGATTGCGATAACAGTTGTATGAGCCCCTAATAAAATGTTTTTTAAAAAGAGAAAGAAATTTAGATCCGTTCTTTGATAAGAATTGAAAACCCAAAACACACTCTGGATCTTTAAGACCAGCCTGGCCCAGAATCATCTAGCTCCTACTGGTCAAATGGGGAGTACCGAAGAGGTCAACTGGGCGATCCTGAGTCGCCGGTGTTTTACAACATGAACTCTCTGAAGTATTTTGGCACCAGCATCTATTCCAAGTCCAGCACTGGCTCTGGCCTCATCAAGTTCCCATGGAATCGTTGCCACGAGAGTAATGCAGTTAGGACCCCAGAAGCCGGGCAAGAGCCTGCAGAACGAAGTATTTCCGAAATTGTCACTGGAGGCTTGTGTGTTGCCATGATGCTGAGCAAGTTTCAGTGGAGCTTCCAGACCAGAGAGGACTAGGAAGAAAAGCCTGCTTACGGTTCTGTGAGGCATGGGATTGCCATGCCCCAGGGACATCTTGATGGTAGCCACCAACAGCAAAAACACCCATTGAAATGACTTTGTCTAGAGAAAAAATGACATACGGTTCTACTTTAAAGGGGCATATCTTTATCAGAAAATGCCAAGTCCGTGTCCAGCGGAATTGTACCATTTTGCATTCCTACCAGCAGTGTACACGTGATCCCCTTTCTCTGCATCCTCCCCAGCAGTGATAGTGCCATTGTTCTTTGTGATAGTCAATCGGATAGATATGTAGTGGCATCACTTTATGGTTTAATTTGCATCTCCGAGCTCTAGTAGCATAGAGGAGGCCTATGGTATAGTGGTTCACATTCAGCCGCTATGTGCAAGGTCAGCAGTTCAAAACCACCATGTGCTCTGAATGAGAAAGATGAGACTTTCTATGCTCATAAAGAGGTACAGTCTCAGAAATTGATGGGGCCAGTTCTACCCTGTCCTATAGGGTCACTATGAGTCAGAATTGGCTTGATGGCAGTGAGTTTGGTTTTGACTTTAATGGCTACCATTGTTGATCATCTTTTCATATGCTTATTTCACCTCTGTATATCCTTTTTGGTCAAATGTCTGTTCATGTTTTGTCTTTTTATTCATTTGATTGTTTGCTAAAGGAGCCGTCCCTTTAAACCAGCCGTTCTCAATCTGTGGGTTGCGACCCCTTTGGGGATGGAATGACCCTTTCACAGGGGTGGCCCAATTCATAACAGTAGCAAAATTACAGTCATGAAGTAGCAACAAAAATAATTGTATGGTTGGGGGGTCACCACAACCTGAGGAACTGTTTTAAAGGGTCACGGCATCAGGAAGCTTGAGAACCACTGCTTTAAATGAATATCTTTTACAAAGCTGTTTTTAATTATCCCCAGTGGCTTAAGAAATCATTAAGTAGGGTTGTAAATGCTTCTAGGCACAA